ATATGCTTGGTTGGTTGTTTGTGTTGTCTGTTGTTTGTGTTTGTGTTAATCGGGAGTCTTGAAGTCATGGTTTTCACACTACATGACTAATCAGCAACGGGGTCTCACACACTACAAGATCTTTCACAAGGAGTAAATGGTAAACGGTACTTATATAGCGCCTTTCTAGTCTTTCGACCACTCACTGCGCTGTACACTACATGCCACACTCATTCCCACAGTCTGTCTGATCTCCAGGAGTCATTTACAATACCATTAATAACAAGTACATCATGTTAGATTAGGAAAGTAGTTTAAAAACACACACAAAGGGCAACCATTTACAGCATACTGCCGTTAGAAATTGGAAAATCAGGTAATCAGATAATAAGCCCGATCAACGGCGTCTGTAATACACGTATTATTAAACCATTAATCAAATTAATAACTAACAGTGGTCAACGTCAGACAACATTAGTGGTGACAAAAAATGAAAAGTGATACATATTAGCAGTTTGAATTAAACTAACTAAAAGCTCCCTGAGCCAAACTCTTTCCTAATGTGTCCGTAACAACATGTAACAAGACTGATGTTGTTCCTGTCAGCACCGGGAAAAATGCCTGGCTGCCCAGTCCTTGTTCAGAAGCTTCTGTCTGACACCAGTCAGCCTGCAGACTGAACTGCTGCCCTACCTGGCCAAACTCACCCACCCTATGAGGAACCAAGGTACCAGACATACACACACAATACTGCATACGCTACCTACTCATAGTCCTCCAATAGAAAGTACATATAGTTTTCAAAAGATTTCGGAACAGGTGTAAGCAAACATTTAAATGCAAAGCTGCTACATTCATATCATCCTGTCTTTCTATGGTTGGTTAGTCGCCTGGCTCAGATTTTTTGGACAATATTGATCAAAGCTGCTGCTAAATCTACTGTACTTGAATAGCACCTTTCTAGTCTTCCGACCACTCAAAGCAGTTTACCCATTCGCACAGTGATGGCAAATCCCATCAAATGGAGTTAGAAGAGAGTTAGTTAGAAGTCAAATGAATGTGAAAACAAACAATGCACATACATTTTTCAGTTTCAACCACTGTAGTGACAAGGAGAGGGGGACTTTTTTAATAAATTAACATTTTAATGAAGAAAAATCATGTCAGCCACACTGCAGACTATTTGAATTTGTCGTACTATATGTCTGGAGGGGATCTTTAAATGATCATTTGTGTACAGTATTTTTAGGTGACATATTGCTTCATATTGGTTTGTCATGTTTGTCATCTCACCATAATCAACAGAGCTTTGGTCATTTGAATGAGTCTTTTGTCTTTTGATAAAAGTGTTGTGTGCTACACTGTGTCTCCCAGCTCAGATAGCTTTTATCCAGGACGTGGGTCAGATGTTACAGAGGAGACTCTCCGGCAGGTACACATTTTATCTTCTTATAGGTGCATGCATTTAGATTCTAGTGCGTCTGTTCTGAGTCACAATTAGAGCAGCTATTAATACATTTTTATTTTAAATTATGAATTTTGTTTCTCGCCATTATGAAAACAAGATAATTGAGATAAAACAATATTGTGTTGTATTATATTTCGCAACCATTTACAGTGGTGCACCCTCCCCACCCATGCTCTCAGACAGGCTGTGGTATGCTTGAGTTCAGCTTGAGCCAAGATGATAGAAAGAGAGCCTATATTGAGACCAAATCAGGATGTGGAGATTAGTGCAGGTTTGAGCAGTGTGGGTGTGTAACATCTTATCTTAGCTTAGCAATAAATTCTCCTTACTTCTTTGCCAACATCAACTGTGTGACCATAGCTAAATTAACATTAGCTTTGTGTCTGACTAGCCTCACTCACCCGGCAGTATTATTTCTACAACTTGGTTAAAACTTGGATTAAAAAACCTTAAGAGTACTTGCGTGTCTTAAATATACAATTATTTATGGGGGACTGCAGGCGCGTACAAATGATCCCGACAAATAAGGGTTGGCCCAAACTCGTTCTGTTGGTGCAGAGAGACGTTATTCCTCAGGCCAAAACATAAACCTTTGTGTATTTGTCTAGGAGAATTTGTAATTATATTACATAAATAAAAACAAATAAATAAAACAAGGTAATTGTTTGTTGTGTGTGTGTGAACCTAAAACGGTTGGTAGGGATTACATAAATATATCTTAATATAATAATAAAGGCTTTCAATTTCAATTTCAATTTCAATTAAGGAAAAAATGCACAAAATCTTGTGTTTTAAAGAAATGCAGATTAACTACAATCTAGGTATGTTCATGTAAAGACTTTATTTTTTATTGTTAATATCACAGATTTAATTATGCCACATAATGCTGATAAGTACTACTGATAAGTCTGGAAATATATCATTGTTATTTAAAGCATGATAACTAATACCATCACAATGTGTTATTTGTTTTGTTGAAATAGTTTTAGAGTTGTAAGCTTTTTTTAATGTATTTATTTTCTTTGGTCTTCATTGTGTTCCCCGTACTACTGAGACCAAAGCTATGCCATTGACTGTTACTATGGATACCTGTGGTTAAACCTTAAGCACTGATTTAGAATGATGACCTGATAATGTAGATCTGTTATTGTATTGTTTGTCTTAATTTCTCTCTTGGCTTTGTGTTTGTGCAGATTAAAACTGGAGGCTCTGACAGACAAAGAACCAGGCCAGCTGGAGACAGACACTGAGGAGGAGAAAGAGAAAGAGGAAGGTCAGGGTGCGGCTGAGGAGGGTCTGTTGGGCAGTCAGCCCCAACCTACTACAAACCAAGTCCTTTTGGAGGAGGAGGACCTGATCATAGAGGAATATACCAGTGACTAACACACACAGCCCTGTCATACATCTACTGCCATACTGTTACACTGTTAAATGACAGTCCTTTCAGGATTTCACAGGCTAATTTTGTAATTGTTGCAGCCAAAAATACCTGATCTCACAGCAGCTTTTCTAAAGAATTGAGATGCAGTATAAAATTGCTAGTAGTTTGGTGACGTATTGCTGAACGTTTTACGCAGGGGACTGCTATGATTGGTGAAACTCGCTGGAATGATTTGAATCCATTAAGAATTCACAGGGATTGGTTGAATTTGCATTTATTGTTGCAGTCACATCATTGCAACTGCCTGGAGGGACTGAAATGAGTTCTGAGATTCATTTTTGACATGTGAAGGAACACATTACTTGTTACTGTTAAAAAAGAATTCCATATAAATTCAACTTACTTAAATTGTAAGATTGATCCCACAACTCAAATAATTATCCACATGACCTTATGTTGCTGACTCTGGTAATAGTTTAGTAATTTTTGCCTCATTGAGGTGTCATTTGTACAAGATATGATCATTTTTCAAACAAGCTTGTTGCCTTGTAGAACCTGAATTGAATGTGTAGCTTTTCAAAAGCTCCAAATACAATAGAAGCATGATGGGAATCTCCTCAGATGACCCAGTTCAAATTTTGTCAGTATGTATTTGTTTTTGTACTTAACATCTTTTTGTTTTGCTGAGTGATCAACCTGTAATGAAGAACTGTCAAGGAATAAGCTTGGCCATTAACTGACATTTTTTTTGTTTCACTGTTTTCTATGGAGAGAAAATAATAAATAGTACATTGAATGCTTATTGAGAGATACCAAACCTAAATAAGTTTGTGAATAAAAACAGTGTGTGAAAAGCCGATCATGGGGCTCTTTACTTGAACAGTAACGAGTGCTTACCCTGTCACACCCCTTCATCCAATATTTGCTCAACAAGCTCTCTTAAATATTCCCTCTGGTGATGGTGACTCACTCACTTCCTGCTGCTTTTTTTTATATAAATGTTTTAAATGTATCCAACTCCAATAACACTTGTAATGTTGCACTATGCAATTAATAGATACGGTTTAGTAATAAAGTTACAGGAAGTCTTTATAGGTTAAATGTCGTATTTCACTGAAATATATTTTATGAGAAAAACATTTTTAGAAAAGTTAAATGTTATGATACGTTTTTTGTTTTTCTTTATTGCAGAATAGAAATTGAACAGGCATTGTATATTTCAAGAGAAGTACGGTTTAAGACTGAGCCAGTATAATCAAGATGAAAAATTACCAGGCACAAGAACAAAAAAATCATAAAAGGTAAGAGAAATACAAATGCAAGTGAGGAGAAAACTCTTGCAAAAATGTAGTAAAGCGAGGGGTGATTTAAAAAAAAAAAAAAGGACATTTGTATTTGGCAAATTCAAATTAAGCTACTTCTTTCAAACGTCTTGCTTAGTTTTTCTCTTAAAAATATGTTTATAGTTTATTTTGACGGTAATGACCGGAAGTAATCGTTGTTTCCGCTTTTAGCTTGATGCTGCTAGAAGTTTTCGGTCCCTGGACGATAGGTGTCACCGAGCAGTAAACAGGTTAATATGTGACTTGTTTTTGCTGTCACTTGGAAGATAAAACTTAGATAACAGTTTACTGAACTTTATTTTTGTCTGTGTGTCGGTGGAGACTCTAAAGCGCTAAGGAATATAAAGTTTGCTTCGAAGTTGCAGGTAAGAGGAAGTGATTCCTAAAAACGAGTAATCATTAAAGGGAGGTTCCACTTTATATTAGAACCCACAGGTTATTCCTGTAGCTAATATGGTATAGTTCAGGTTTTGTCTGTGTCCCAGAATATAGTGATGTCATCTAGAGTCAAATCCTATGATCCATAGTTTTATTATTTTTATTGTTGTATTATTAATTCAGTTAATTTAATACAAGTAAATAAATGATAAATAAATATATAATAAAAAGAAACATGCAAACAAATAAATTAGAGATTAACATAAAACATCGCAGAGGTCAACATAAATAAATAGAAGTCACCTTAAGTTATTAATAGCTTCTGTAAAAAAGAAGAAAAAATAATATTATCCAAGATAAATCTGCAGATATATTGCCTTACGGGTATGTAGACATTTCCGGAAATGATGGATGATAGTTTCAGTGTGGGGATCACAGGAGGTACAGCTTATATCAGGATCATTTTTGAATTTAACAAAAAAAGACATAACTGGGTCACAATGTTTATAAAAATAACTTTTTGTCAGATTTGTAGATTTGTAGATTTGTAGATAATTTTTACTCCCCCTAACACAGCCAGGAGTAGGCAGAACACATCTGTTTTCCACTTGATACAGTATCTGTGTATGGTTACTAAACTATTAGCATTTTCAGCATTTATTTTCACAAACATCTAATTATAAAGGAAGCAATAAACTTGCTCCAAATGGCCACGTGTTAAGAACAAGTATGAACCTATTGTGACATCCTGTCTTGGTTTGTGGAGTACCAATTTGAAGCCTCAAGTTTGACATCATGGTTGCCATGTTGTTTTCTTGCAAGCAGCAGCCACGTGCTCTAAACAGACATGCCCCCCAACAATGCTTCAAGCAGCAATACCTGGAGCCAAACAGTCAGCCTGTTCTGAACGGGCACACATTTCTATCAGGCATGTGATCTGAATGGCACTGCACTAGTTCACAGCAACAACTGACAGCTTTGGCTAAATGTACAGTATATCATTTCTGTTTCTAGGGGGTCTTTCACATAAAACAATAACAAAAGACAAAGTTTGATGACGTTGTGAAGTAGCGTGGGATTATGGGATTTGTTTTCTTCACCTCCATTGCTGGCATTGCAGTCAGCTTCTTCCAGTTAGGATTCCTTTAGTGTAGGTACACAACCTAACTACATATAGAACATAGGGCTACTGTTTATAGACACTTTAATGTGAGAATGTTTAGGGCTGCTTGATATGGTAAGAACATCATATTGGGAAATGATTCACAATTATGAATGATAATTTTTGCATCACAAATTTATTTATTTGTTGATGAGGGCATCACTACAGAACAACAGTACTTCATTCTAATTCTGTTTTGTCACAAGTTTTACCTTTATCAAAACATTGCAGCTCATGCGTTTTGCATTTTGATGCTGCAATTTGAATATTGCACATGGCCATATTGCTATTTCGATGCTATTTCAATTGCGCAGCCATAGAAATGTTACATATTATAGCTTCAACAGAACACGTGTTCCTGTGAGTTGATAGATAACCTGGGCAACAGCAATAAGTTCTTGTAGGTGTCCCAGACTTTCCCTTTGAGACATAACCAGACATTAATGTCATCTTTTGTCTGATCCAGCTAATCTCTGCGATTCTCTGCGAATCTCCGCGAATCAATGTGGGTTGATTTTTCTTTACTTTCATATTTGTATAGTGACAGTATGAAAATTTATGAAAAATGTGGAGTGGATGCTGAATACAATATTTTTAATTATCATATCATCTAATGGAATGCAATAGCACTAGAGGCAACTGAGAAAATGTGTTTTTTGTGTTTGTTTTTGGCTAACGATTTAAGTTTTACATTTGACCTGGTGCAGATGCAGGAGGTAAGTGAGGCCAGCAACTTGGATGATGATATGGTGGATGGAGACCTGGGTGATGGCATGGGAGTCAGAGCAGCACCCAGCTTTACAAGGAAGAAGAGTCAAAGCGTTGCTGGTGTCACAGAGAGCCTGCTGCCTGGAGCAGAGCGGCATAGGAACAGTGGCCAGACAGGAGAGGCAGTCTGGATCCCTGGTCTGAAGACTGCAGAGACACAGCAGAGAGCCCGCTGGAAGCTGCTATGCTCTGGTAAGAATGTCTGTGAACTGATTCTTAACTGTAACAAAGGACTTAAACAAGAATCAAATGATAAAGGCAAGATACCATCAAATTCTCATAAAATCTTCCCTTTGATTGAAATACAGTAGCAGACATGAATTCTAGGGAGGTAACAATACAGTCAACTCACAATTCAAGAAAACACACACACACACACACACACACATTTTCTGTGACCTCTAATGCACAAGTGCACTTTTTGTGAATCAGCAGGCTCCCTAGCTGAGCTGTCCAAAGACGAGCTGAAAGAGAGACTACAGGAAGCCACTGAGGTAGTGAAGAAACCCATAATTTTGTCCACTTAACTCCAGCCTGGCAAACTGTAACTGATGGCTCTGCTGACAGGTAATAGATGTACTGTGCTGTGAGCTGGAGGTGGCACGTCGGTACCTTGAAGGCAAATATGAAGCTCTGAAGATCTTACAAGGGAAGGTAGATACCTTAGTGTTTTTTTTTACTTTTACCCCTAAAATCAAGCAATGTCCACTTGCAACTCGCAATTGTTCTTCATCTTCAAGACAATGGTGGCCTAAAGAAGCCGTTCCCAACCTTTTTACTTAAGGGAGCCCTTTTCTGTTACTAAGTAAAGAAAGAGACAAAGTGATATATTTTATGGATATTTCATATTATATTCTAAAGGTTTGAGAACCGAGCTTGTTATCCCACGACTCTTTCACTTTCTGGGTGGGGAACGTGAAGAAGCAGTCCCTCCCTCATTTACCACCACTTAGGTGTCCTTGAGCACCTTAAGCCTGTAACAGGGAACTGCACATAGACTAAATATAAGGTAATGGGCGGATCTGATACCTAGTGTGACACTGCCAGCTGACTGCCTTATATGGTAATGAACAACATAAATATTAAATAAACATTACTCCATTTGACCCAGTATAATCTTAATAAAAATTGTACATTATCAAAAGAAAAACTGTTTGCTGTATTTATCACCATATATAAATTCAAAATATTTCATGTCTGACCCGGACGAAACATGGGAAACAAAAGCCTAATCCCAATGTCAAATCAGACAAGTTAACTCAAGTCAAGTCAACTTAACTTAAATAGTCCAATGATGACTAAAAAAACCTGCGTTTAATTAACATGCCATTGATAATAATCCACACGTACAGCATTTAAATATGTGAGGAAAAATAATAATCATAACTTATGTTTACCAACACAACTGCTATACACAAAGGTAGACAACCCCAACTTCTCCAGTGGAGTTGCTCAGTGGCTGGCAGAACAGACTGTAAGAATGTGATCAGGGCGTTCCTTAGTGAACCTTCTCTAAATAAATAAATAAAGGTTAAAAAAAACTGTTGCTGACCCTCCCAGGCTGCTATTTTGTCATATCATCTGCCTCAGTCTTGTTGCACGTTTCTCATCTGTTTCTACTGTCAACTGTGGAAGGCAAAAGAGCCAAATACTGCTCATTCAAATACTTATGAAGCTTGTGGGTAAAAGATTACATTAGGATAGAAATGATGGTCAAAATGTGTATAAATCGTAAATAAATGTGTATCTATGTAAATAAGGTAAAAAAGAAACAACTAAAAACTGTTCTCCTTTTCACAGGCCATTCTTGACAAAGCCACGAGTCACACTAAAAGTCTGTTGCAGAAAAGTGAGGAGAAGGCCAAAGGTCTGGAGAAGGTAAGTGTAAGTGCAGGCTGTTTAAATAACATTGCTTTAACATCCTACAGCAGGTTACTTAACAGTGACGACCCAACTGCTCTTTCCTCTTCAACAAGGACAAAAGGAAAGTATAATGCCACGGAGTGACTGATAAGGGTCATTGTAGGTAAAAAAAAAATATATATATATATATATTATGGAGACGAGGAAGGGGGATAAAGGATGTTTTGAATGTATACATAGGTTACATTTAACCATCAATTATTTACAACTGGTAACAAAAAACAGAAAGTGAAAGTGAGCAATCATAAGAGGACCACTGCCTTCCTTGGTTTCTGCCCCAACTTTTCATAAGTCAACTTCAGAGCAGAGAGTGTGTAGGGGCGGCTGTGGCACAGGATATATAGTGGGTCATCCACTAATCAGAGAGTTTGTGGTTTGATCCCCGGCTCCTACTGGTGCATGTTAAAGAGTCCTTGAGCAAGATACTGAACCCCAAATTGCTCCCAATGCTGTGTCATCGGTGTGTGAATGAATTATTTTCTGTTCTGATGAGCATTTGCCAATGTGTGTAAATGAGTGAATGTGATATATGATGTAGTGTAAAGTGCTTTGAGTGGATGGAAGACTAGAAACATGCTTTAGAAGTGCAGTCCATGACCATGATTGCTCTCTCTTGCGTGGCTGCTTTGTGGTACCATTTTTTTTCTCTGTCTATGCCTCTTGGTTGTTGAATTTGTGCATGAGGACTTTTATTGTATGAGTTGCAGTTAATATCTGCATCTGTGAAATAATATAATTTGCAAGCATGTTTTATCACAGTTGCGACATATGACTGAGGCCACAGAGAGAGATTGCATATGTACAGAAGTGCAGATGAAAAGCAAAAACTGTTCATTTGATCATGAAGCCTGCTGTAACTCTGTTTAATTCTCAGGTTTATCAGTGAGGTGTATTAACTACACTGCAGACTGGAGTCTCTGTTAACAAAAGACTGTCAGCTGTTTCATACAAAATGAGTCATCTGCAAGTACAATGTTCATCGCTAGAGCCAATGTGCTCGTCTCCTGTATGAAATGGCTGTATCCTCACTGTCCTGACTCATAACTCAAAATTCACAACATGGGGCTTGACTTGTTGACTTAACTTGAAATATTCTAATCATGATCTGTTGCTTCCATCTCTTGCAGGAGGTGAACAGCTTGCAGTGGGAACTCAGCTTCAACCAGGTCCAGATGAAGAAGTCTCAGCAGTCCTGGGAGCAGAAATGCAATAGGTTGGATTTACTTCACATATCACGTCTGTGGTATTGTCACTGGTTTGTATTGTAACTTTATTGTTGTTGTAATCAGAATTTTGAGTGAGAACAAGACTCTGACTGCCAACCTGGAGGAAAGAGAGAGTGAGATCCAGCAGCTCCGAGCAGAAAATTCAGGTATAATAATGTCGATTCATTATGAGGTGAGCTAGAAATGTCTGCACATATTATCTCCATCTGTGAAGTGAAGTGCATCATGCTGCTCCTAGCCCTCAGTGTGTGACTACCCCCTTCCCACCAATGCAAACCTAGTGCTAGTTCTGGGCTGGTGCTCATGTTGGTTCAGAGTTGGTTTAACCTGAGAACCTTCTAAGAATGGTTTGTGTTTCCACAGACTAGAGAGCCACCATAGAGCCACGTCATCAAGTCACTGTATATATCTTCATAAGCTATTAACAAGGTTACTCCCGCTGGCTAGCTAGCTAGCTGTTGTTCAGCTTACATTACCCGAGCAAGCATTCTACTAATTTCTCAATTTTACTAACCTTGAACATAACACAAGTTACGAACAATGTTATGAACAAAACGTTGATGTGAGAAATTAGTAGCTATGCTTGGTTGGGTAATGATAGCTGAAAGCTAGCTAGCTGTTTGTCAACTAGCTCAGTGTTAGGCCCGTAACATCTGTGTCATGTTCAAAATATGAGAAATTAGTAGCTTAATAAACAGCTAATAAAAACATAGCTGCCTGGCCACCCAGACCCTGCAGTTCTTTGGCTGCCAAAGAACTGGTTTGAGATTAGGCATTAACCCCGAACCAGCCCTCAAACTGCCTTGGTGGCAAAGGGATACAAGTCACCAACAGTCAGTGACATCTTGACTAAATAATCTTAACCCATGGCCCACTTACTAGCTTTTTCCAGCGCTTTTAACCACAGCGGTCTTTTGTCAGCAAATGGAATTGACTTAGTCGTCATCACAAAGATTATGTGTGTTTGTGTTTGCAGCTCTAAGTCGGCAGTACTTGGAGCTTCTTTCCATGTTGAATATGAAGGAGCAGAGAGCTTACCAAGAAACCAAACCTGAATACAGCCCAGAGAGAGATGCAAGTGTTCTGGAGGTGAGAGCGTTTCAATCAAGAATACATATATTTATAAATATACAGCGGGTAAAATAAGTATTGAACACATCATTTTTCTCAGTAAATATATTCCTAAAGGTGCTATTGTCATGAAAT